ATGGTTTTAATGGGAAGACTGAGGCTCGAGAAAGAATCCCGGATTTCGCAGTATTATATGATCTTGCTGTAGTTAATACTTATTAAAAAGAGGAAAGAACATTATATAACTTATAAGAGTGTAAGTAATAGATCACAGATTGATTATTTTATGTGGAAGAGATCGTAAAGCGAGTAAAAGATTGTAAAGTTATACCAGGCGAGAGTATAACTACATAACATAGACTGATAGTAATGGAGTTAAAGTGTATGGAGAAGAGAATATACAAAAAAAGAATGAACACGGATGAAAAATCAAATATCCAATGCTGGAAATTGAAAGGGGAAAATGAAACAAGAGTTTGCCAAGACGGTAAAAGAGAGGACAGTGTGGAATGTTGAGGGAGACATAAATGAATGATGCGTGGAATAGATTTTCAAGTTTTGTAAGGAATACTGCAAAGGAGATTGTTGGTGAGAGTAGGAGTAGAATGCCAGGAAACAAGGAAATCTGGTGGTGGGATGAGAACGTTCAAAAAATCACAGAAAGTAAGAAAAAGTAATTCAAAATATGTCAGTAGAGCAGAAGAAGAGAAGATTGGATGGAGTATAAATGCTTGTGCAAAGAATCCAAGTGTGCAGTAAGTAAGGCGAAGTTAAAGAGGTATGATGAGTTGTATGATAGGCTAGGAACAAAGGAAGGCGAGAAAGATATCTATAGACTTGCAAAGGTAAGAGAGAAAAGGTCTAAAGATTATCATTATATAAGGTGTATAAAAAGTGTTGATAATAAGGTACTCTGGAGTGATGGTGATGTGAAAAAAAAGTGGAAAGAGTATTTTGAAAAATTACTGAATAAGGAGTACCCAAAAGAGATATTCGAGGATATCTCGTGGAATGAGGGACTTGTAGATTTAATTAGTGAGAAAGAGGTATGGGAGGCTGTGACATCAATGAAAAAGAATAAAGCAGTAAGACCAGCAGTGGATTTATGTCTGGTAAGTCAACAATGGAGCCATTATTTTGTGTGAGGCAACTAATAGAAATGTTAGGAAAAAGAAGAAAAATATTAATATTAATATAATAGAACATATGTATGATGGCACTTGTACTAGGGTAAAAAGTGTGGGATGAGTAACAAAAGGTTTTTGGGTAAGAGTTAGAGTGCACCGTGGTTCTGTTTTAAGCACTTACTTAGTCTCTATAGTGATGGATGAATTTACTAAAGAAATACAAGGAGAGGTGCCGTGATGCATGTTGTTTGCTGACGATAGTGTTAATAGGAGAAAATAGGAAGGTAATTAATCAAAGGCTAGTGGTGTAGAGATCAGCTCTTAAAGAAAAGAGTTTAAGAATAAGTAGGAGTAAGACAGAGTATATAGAGTACGAATTTGATAAAGGAGAACACAAGGTAAGTGAAAAAAGGCGGGGACTTGATTGGAGAGGTGGAAAGTTTTAAGTATTTAGGATCAGTTGTGCAAAATAGCGGCGGTATTGACGAGGATGTAAGACACAGGATTAAATGCGGGTAGTTGAAGTGGAAAGAAGCGTCTGGTATGTTATGTGATAAAATAATTCCAATGAGACTGAAAGGTAAATTCTACAAGACTGTAGTGAGACCAGCTATGTATGGTTCAGAGTTTTGGGTGGTTGATAAGAAAGTAGAGCAGAAAATAAGAGTAGCAGAGATGAGAATGCTTATATGGACGAGTGGAGTAACTAGAGAAGATATAATAAGAAATGAGCATACAAGAGGGAATATAGGTGTAGCGTCAATCGTGGATAAGATGAGAGAAAATAGACTTAGATGATTTGGTCATGTTATAAGAAGAGAAGAATCAAACCGTAAGAACAGTTGTAGAAATGAATGTTGAAGGAAGAATATGTAGAGGAAGACTAAAAAAGAGATGGAGAGATGTTATTGAATGCGATATGAGAACAGATGATATGAACGTAGAGGATGTGGGAGATCGTGTCAAGTGAAAGTTTAGGATAATGGTGGCCGACCCCAAGTAATTGGGATTAACGTGAGGAAAAAGAAGAAGATGTACTCTTCTATTTATACTATATTATGGTACTATTCTATGCCTATAGGTACAAATTAGTCGACTTGGGATTAGCCTTTCAAAGTCTGAGAAAACCTATATGTATTATTATACAAACATCATTTTAGGGAGGAAGAAATTTTATACAATAAGTCTCCCTAAATATTTTGTTGTAATAGTATGCTACTGATATGATAACACCGCAATTTTTAGTAAATGGATTCAATTATTGTTAAACATTTATACTAAGAAAGGGGTGAAAGAAAAAATGTAGCTTAATTGGTTTTAAATATGTAAGGAAACGGGTTTCTATTGTTATCATTTTCGTAACATTTGATCTGTTTCCTTACTTACTGAACACTCTTTCAACAGAGTAATTCAATTATCATGTTATTATCATTATAACCTTATTAATTGAAAAATTAAATTAATATTGAGAATTTTTTTTGGTTCTTTAAAGTATATGTTTTTATTTTAAATTTACTAATCACAAAGTATTTTTGATGTTCATTCCTTATACCATATAATCGTGTCAAATTAATTTTTTTAAATGGCAATATACATAATTAGTTAGCTTATTTGATAGATATTGAATTAATTAGGAATATTATTGATTGATAACAATTTTTGAATTTATATTTTAGAAATTGTTGACATTCTATATACTTATATACTTTATATAATTGTTGACGCTTTAATATTGAATTTTATACCTAAGGGGATGGAAGAGTAAGGTTAGGAAATCGGTGATGATGAGTTGTGGTCCAATCCATAAATAAAATACGAGTTGATTTTTTTGAAGTACATACGAATTGCGGCTACATATCTATTACATACTACTTTATATCAGCATATTAGCATTACCTAGAAAACACCACGTGGGGGTTGATTGTGTCTCGTTTCTCAAAAATATGTTTTATTAAATTTGATGTGTTTTAATAAATAATTTTAAAATATTAATACATTTTTGTGTTATTGGTATGGTTTAAAACTCAATGATTTTACGAAATCAAATCACCATATTTCTTTATTTTTAAACTTAGTTCTCTAATATACGATTCTTATTCACTCATTTTTTTTTGTTTTTAATCCTTTACTTCTGCATTTTATGTAAGAATCAGATTGAACTTCAAGTAACACACGAAAATGAAGTTGTATATATTAGGATGGCTAGTATAATACGAACTATTTAGTTATGAGTAAAAACTTTTACTGCTGTCAATGGTACGGTTACAGATAGCATTAAAATGTGCCCAAGTGCAAGGACGGAACATAGAGTCTGGAGAAATGTAGTTTTCGAAAAAATAGTCAGTGAATTTTACAATTTAATCATTCTCAACTGGCTGTATTGCCATAAAGTCATTAGTGAAACAATCACGTTGTGAGATCCAAAAGTGATAATCCAAAAAATTTTTTTAAATAATTACTATTACATGTATTAGTATATTTTAGATAGTTCTAAACTTCTGATTTTCTTCCACTAAAATTGTCCTAAATGAAACTGACATCCTTATATTGACATTTTCGTATTGGGCCAAAACTTCCGAAACAGCACTGTAAATTACTAATTCAGAATCAATAAAAACTTCAGTGGGAGAGCACAATAAACTGATGAATATTGAGTGACGAATTATACATTAAAATGCACACGAGTGTGCGATATGATATATGTTAGTGAGTAAAAAAATTCACAAATGGTAAATACATATCATTTTTAAGTCCATGGATGATAAGTTGAGTAAAGTTATTTGGACAGCTTTTGAATGTTTCTGTGGGGGTGCACAGATAAACGGGTATGATGAATATTGTATCGAATTTATGATAAATCATTTGTTGTTAAAGTTGGTATGTNTTGGACAGCTTTTGAATGTTTCTGTGGGGGTGCACAGATAAACGGGTATGATGAATATTGTATCGAATTTATGATAAATCATTGGTTGTTAAAGTTGGTAGCGCTTGTTTCAATTCTGAGCAAATATAAGTTTTGCTGTTTTGCATGAAATGCCATCTAATGCTTTTATTTTCAAATAATTACCTAAAAATTGCCTATTTAGGACATTTTTATCAGTTTTGCCGTGGCTGTGATCAGTATTACTCTCTACTATTTTATTTGAAGAAGATAATTTCAAAAAGTGCTTGCAATTTTTTGCACAGCTAGGTAATCTCTGTATATCATCTTTAAGTGTTTTGTAAAAACGAAATTAGAAGTCTTCATAGATAATAAGTGATTTTGATTTTTCACTAAAAACGAACTTTATTGTAGCTGAATTTAAACTGGCAGTGTAAATGTAAAATGCTATGCTATAATATGAACGCTATATTTTAGTGATTTAAGTATTTAAAAAAACCCAATATTTCAATGTAGGATATTTATAATTAATGATTAAGAATACTCTAATTACAACGCGACAATTACTCAAAACGCAACTCAACTATTGACAAAAGTTCATCGGGCCGGAATTTACCGGTATCCAATATCATTTATAACTCGTCGGCCGCCACTCACCCACAGTCCAAGTAATGACTACTGTTAGAAATAACAACACCCTTATCTCAACTGCAGTGTGTATTTTAAAATGGTAATAACTTCCAAAATAATGAAACAAAAGGTGTTTTCGTCTAGTCATTTTCTTAATTAGATCGTTACCTATTTAATAAATTAATTTATCATTTATGTTGCTATTTGAGAAAATAAAGTTTACACCCTTATAAGGTGTAAGAGATGAACATGACAAATACTTCATGATTGAAAAATTGAGAAAAACATGTTTCTTAAAGAAACTAAATAAATATTCTCAATATTATTTAAATTGTTTAATAATTAAATGATTCATTATTAATTACTCACATTGTATATCATAATTAAAACAATATTGAGTGTTATACACCGAAAAAATAAAATTATATTTTCGATTTACTATATATATTTTTAGAATTTTTGAATTTTATTCTTGTAAAGCAAATTAATCTGGTATAGATTTATGCATTTTATGCTGCGATGAAAAAAAGACCGTGACTTTAAATTGTTGTGGAAATTCAATTGGTAATTTATGTTCCAATATTTTAATACAAAGCGAGAAACCTTGCCCATACTGCAGACATTTAATAAGAGATTTCAAAGGAATAAGTAAGAATATCTTTTTTCGTTAGGTTATAATTATTGATGCCTAATCTGGGAGGGCTGAGAGAGATGCGGCGCAGACTTTTAGTCAGCGTCGTACACTCGGTCCTCCTGTACGGGTCCCCGGTTTGGGCGGATACTCTTGAGTATTCGTCCAAAAACCGTGAAGCCCTGCTCAGGGTGCAGAGGCGGGCGGCGATCCGGACAGTTTCGGCGTACCGAACGGTGTCCGGAGTGGCGGCGGGTGTCCTGTCGTCACTGCCGCCCGCCGACCTGCTCGTCGAGGAACGCGCCGCCGGGCATGAGCTCCGCNCGTCACTGCCGCCCGCCGATCTGCTCGCCGAGGAACGCGCCGCCGGGCATGAGCTCCGCCGAGAGCGCAACCGGTCCCTCGAACCCGAGGACCGGCTGGCGCTCAGGCGGATGACCATGCTTCGGTGGCGGACTTGCCTCTCGGAGGAAACGACGAGAGGCGAGTGGACCAGGTCCCTCATAGGACCCGATCGGCTGGACAGGTGGGTGGACCGGACTCAAGGTGAGATGACTTATCGTCTCACCTAAGTGATGTCCGGCCACGGCTGCTTTAACGAGTACTTACATCGTATTCGTAAAGCAGCCGCGCCGACGTGCGACCACTGTTTTGATCGTCCGGGAGAGGCTGATAGCGCTCTGCACACCCTCTTCCGGTGCGAGGCGTGGGCCCAGGAGCGGGACTCTTTGGAGTCCCATCTGGGGTCCACGCTCCGAGTCGGGTCCTTGGTGGACCTGATGTTGGGAAGCCGGGAGGCGTGGAGGCTCGTCCAGGCGTTCGTCGAGTCCGTCTTGAAAAAGAAGGAGGAAGCTGAACGCCTGAGACAGAGGCATCCGCGCCGCCCGGTACAGGAGGACCTAAGACGCTGGTTTAGGCCGGCGCCTTAGGTATTCGTGTTTTATGTTTTTATGTTTTTGTTTCGTGAGTTATTTGTGCCCCCTTCGCAAAGATGGATCTTACTCTGGGATCCGGCTAACGGGGGAGGCCACACCACGTTGTGAATCAGCTCTTGATTAATTTCGGGATGATTCACAACGTGGTGGTGTGAGTTTTAAAGACGGCGTGGGCCGCCCTGAAGTAATACCTAACGGTAGTTCCAGGGCGGTCCACAATCAAGCCGATCGGAAAAAAAAAAAAAAAAAGGTTATAATTATTGATAATGATAGCCATGAAATATATTTTAATTAAACAATCAATTTTATTTTTTTTGATTTGCTTTTATTTACATTTTTTTTTAGAAAATAACTTTTTCTTCTCGAGTATTCAATAATTATTATATAGTATGTTCAGTATGTAAGAAAACGACTTTCTAATATGAGCATACTGAACACTCTATTTTATTGTTCTAAGTAAATTTCATACAAAGTGCATCGCAAGTTTGTTATGTTTTAAATACTCAGTGTTTATATTTTCATAATTTACATTAGTCTTATGGGAAATTAAAAATTTTTATTCATGTATTAAACAGATTTTTTTTTTTAACCCATTTTTTTTAACAAACCTTGTGCATCGAAAATTTAAAAAATATCATAAAAGTAATATTTTTCAGAAAAATTTATGTGAAATTTTTAAAAATTATTTTTTTTATTTCTTGAGGAATTAAAATTCTTATTAAAATGATTTTAAAAAGTAGAATTAATATTATTAATTATTATATTATTTTAGACATTATGACTGAGGTAGCATTAAAAGAATTTTTAAACAAAGATTATTATACAACCAATCCGGCTTGTGAGCTTAAGCTTGATGATTTTAAAAATTTAATGAAGCGTGTTAAATGCGAAAACTTTAATCCAGTGGAAATAATAGCTCGGCTGAAATATCTCATGCGTGGTCAGCAACCAGATGATAAACTGTTAAAAGATATTGATTCACTTCTATCAGTTAGAAAACATATACAATTAAGACAATATATAGAACATGTTTTTAAAAATTGTTTGATTCCCAAAGCTGAATTTGAACTTTATAAAAAACATTTTAAACGTATATTATCTATGAAAGAAAATTTTATGTTAAAACGTTACTATAAACGAAATAATCTAGACGTAAAAAAAGAATTTCTAAGACGAAATCAATATTTTGATAATATTGTAGAAGAATAAAAATGTTTTTCTTTTATGTTTTCGATAATATAATTTCTTATTAAAAAATATATCGTTAAATTATTTAAAAATCCAAAGCCATATTTTTTAAGATTTAACTAGAGGTGATAGTTTAGAACATAAAACATTTTCTTGAGGGACAAATCTATCATCATTTATATACAAACATCAAATATTTTTTATTGGTAATTTTTAGTTTCGATGCGAAGCTGAGAAGATATTAGTTTTACCATGTTTATTTTTGTGTCTGTTACTACTTTTTCTCAGGTCTCACTGGACCGATTTTTTTTAACAGTATGTCAAAAGATCATAAATTGTATATAGTTGAAAACGTTACTCTGAAAATGGGAAAATTTTCTTCGTTCCCGTAAATAGGAAAAATCATCCAAAAATTACAAATTTTAAAATGGGTAAATTTTTAAAACTATTTTTTCTTAAAACTGTCATAACTTTTTGCAAAATGGATCAATCGAAAGAACTTTTTTTTTTTTATAAAAAACCTAGGTATTTACAACCACAAATATGTACAAAACTCAAAATACATCAATCAGTACATAATTAGTAGTTAACAGTATTTAAATAATTAAAAAAAACAATATGTATATTACATATATATATATATAACGCGTAAATAACACCTTATATCGAAAAGAATACTAAGAATATAAAATATCTAAGTAACAAATAATAATTATTTGTTAATAATTATTTATTTGTACGAATGACTACAAAGTTATTATAAATTAATTTTCGTCTATTGGTAAAGGACTCAAAAATCTAACCCCTCGCTGAAAAGAACCAATCGTGGTTTGTACGAGGGCTCCTCGAACGACGCCGTCCTCACAGGTCACTACATTGATGACACTACCTAGCCGCCATTTCAAAAACGGAATTTCGTTGTCCTTGAGAAGCACGATGGTGCCTAATTTTATTTTAGGTCCTTTCTCAAAAGCCCAATTCGTTTTCTCCTGCAATTGCACTAAATACTTTCGACTCCAGCGCTTCCATAAATTTCGGGAGTATTATGAGACAGACACGTCTCTAACGTGTTGAACGGTTAATAGATATGTTCGTTCGATCCAGTTCAAGTAGGTTAGTTAGGATGACTAGGAGTGAGAGAACACAAGTCGTTTGGATCAGAGGATAGAGATGTTAATGAGTGACTATTTCAGAATGCTTCCACCTGCGTAATTACTATAAGCAGCTCTTCGTAAAATAAATGTACATCACCCAAGAATGTTCGTAATAAATATTTCATCGATTTTAGCTTCCCCAAAATACGGCGAGCGCGCCGGAATGAAATTGCACACCACTCAGACGACACGTTGTTAGTTTTCTTTTGATGTTCTTCCGTTCGATATAATTCATACCATTTTTTGAGTTATCGGAGTACAACGTTTTACTTTTCTGCGTCTATCAAAAAACCCATCTAAGCGCATGTAATAAAGCATCGATACTTAGTCGTTGACCAATTCAAAATGCACAGTATGTGTCACACAACAAATAAATATACACAGGTAGGTTTTAGTAACAGGTGAATTTTCCCCCAGTCCCGTTTTTAACAATAATGGACCACACTGTCACATATTGACAATCTCACCTGCAATTTACCTTATAATAATTTATTTATTTCGAGCCTCTATCAATATCAAATATCTTTCAAAATATTATAATTTATTTTGATAATTAACGCAATTTGTAATCTTGAACAAAAGATAATAGGACGAATATAGATAACATAATGTTGTGCCTGACTGGTGCTGCACAAACACAGCGAGATATAATACGGTAGTTAGTGCCGAAACCAAAGGTCTGCACTCGCCCTTCGTCAATGATTAAAAAATGACAACACGTTACACGACTGATTACGAAGTAATCCGATGAGGTCCAAGAAGCAAACTTTTTTTTGATTCAGTTGCTATACTGGATTATTAAGATTGGTTGGTGGGGAAGAGTCGTGAATACTTGGTAAAATGAGGCTGAAGTAAATTTTCCTCAGCGGTGAACACCATCGTGTGCCAGGTGGTTTCAAATGCGAATCGACATTTTACATATAAATTAAATGGAATCGACAATATGTCGTTATTGTTCCTAATCTATGCTTACCCTACAAAAACACCAAACGAATTAAGTTTATCACATCAGTTTTCAGTTAATGTATAAAAGTATTATACGATTATAATTTTTCATCTTATAATTTATAAAAATTTTAAAGAATTACACATGTTACCGATTAATACAGCTATTATCTACGTGTACCTATAATCTTAAAAATGGGTATATTCTTTATTCAAATTTACTAAATTAAAAGTTTGCTTCACCACTTCCGAGACTCACGAGCCGCCACTGTAAATAATTTGAAACATATTGGTAAATTACGTTTGTAGTAAATTATATATTATCATTAACGATAGGAAAAGTTTATAACCGATAAGTGGTCAGCTTGTATAAATATACATCTTTTTCGCTTCAAAATTTTCATAGATTGGCATCTCTATATTACTCTATGATTACATCACTAGAGGTTTGTGACAAAAACAAACAACACATCTATTAGCGCTAAAACGTGCGACATTTCGGCTGTTGATAGTCGAACGGACACTAATGGCGATCGTGAGCCACTATGCAACTTGATATGTTCCTCCCGAAATAGCAGTTTGGGTTAAACGGACTGTTAACCAGATACAGCCTTCGCTGCATTTCTTTCTGCGGCACTCATAACGCCTGTTTCGCTTAACAGTATGATACATATTTTTTGTTTTATAAAAACTATACAATGCATTGTGTTTAGATAATAAGCTACTGGAAATAGTTTGTTAAAAGATGAAAACTTTGATTGTAGCTGTTCATTGGCGGAACACACAAATATAGATTTTTTTATACGGAAAAATGTCCAATTCAATATACATTAATAAATAACAATAGTGAGTAAATAGATTATTAAATGCAATAAAATACAATAAACATTAATTAATTAATGGTTGACAGTATATGACAGCAATAAAATTAAGAAAAGAAAAAAATTTATGTATAATTATATACCAATTAAAGTAGCACAAAGATAACCAAAATATTTACAATTAAATACATATATAATAACAATAATACAATTTAGTATAAGAAAGAGAAAAAATAGTTTACTTGAATGGATAATGAAAATGATTATTATTGACATAAAACATTAAAATTTTGATAGGGTGATTTAACATGTAATTTTGGGACAACTAGAAAACGTAAAATAAATGTAATAAAATAAGCTTAATATAAAAGGGTCAAAAATTTAATTATTTATGAATTTAAAGAAAAAAGAATTGTGGGCAGTTATTCTACGTGTTTTAAAAGAGTATAAGTGTCATATCCTAGAACGTTCTCGTACCAGTGTGAGTATTTCTAGCTATATTATATTATAGCATATAAAGCTAATGACTTTATTTTGAATTTTTTCAATTTGGTTTTATATCCAATACTATTATTAACACAAATTATTGGTGCATATAATAGTAAGGAACGAATAAGAGAAGTATAGAACCATTTCAAAGGATCATTAAATTCTGAGTAATTATGTTTGATCATACCAAATAAGGATAAAGTTTTGTTTTGAATTATTAATATATGGGCGTTGAAGAATAGTTTTAGTTCAAACAGTATTCCTAAATATTTTATAAGTAGATTTATATTCGATGTACAAAAATTAAAAATAGTTGTTTTATGTTTTTTTTGAGTATGACATTACTTGACATTTATTGATATTTAGAGAAAGATAATTTAAAGTTTATTCATTAAAATTGTTTGGTATATTTTATAATAATTTAAATTTTCGACAGGTGTAATGTTATTGAAAATGTCCGCGTGAAAAACACAATACTAGAATGAGTAATAGAAAAAACAGATTTATTTATGAATAAGTTAAATGGGATTAGAAAAATGTGATCACCTTGGTGACTCGTATAAAGTTTTTAAATTAAACAAATTGGGATTGTTGAGATAAAAAAGAATCTAACGATGATATAAAAGGGTAGGTAAAGCTAATCTTAGTAAGTTTATGGATTAGTAGATCGTGGTTAACTCTATTAAAAGCTTTTTAGATTTATATCGGGTAATTGGGTGAAATTCTCTTCAATGGCCTTTACACTATCAATCAACTGCGGGTCAATTACCTAATTCAAGACCAACTGTTGATAATATTTCGATAAGACTGTCACGTCATTAAGCAGAAGCGACCTGCCATACACCACTACTCAAAAGATCATCTATATAAAAGTAGCAACCAATAGCGGCGGCCACATTTGTTCAGCTTTAGGTAATTCTTGTAAGCAACCAGTAGCAGCGTATGAAGCAGGTACCGTTCCATAAGAAACAGTATTTAAACGATATATACTTATCGATTTATTCTATTTTTCTCTGTATAAAATACACTGATAATCGCGATGATTATTAACGACTAATATTTTCTTGTATCTTCTTTATTTCGGCTGTTAAAACATAATTATGAGTTCTAAAACGCGATGATAATATATTTCATCTTCCTGGACCATCGGACTTTTTAAAAAAGTGTCATTTATACGAATTTCGCTTATTGTTTTTAATGAAGTATCAAATACCACATATAGTTTTGAAGTAATACTATTATAATTAAGTACGCCATGGTGAGCTAATAAAAAAATTTTCTCTGTATATCTGTGGGTTCGGCTCCTACCCTTTTAATGTGATTTAATGTCTCGTGTTCTCTCATAAATTTTACATATTGTTACTTTAGTTCTGGATCTATACGAAACCTTCTTTCTATGACAATTACCTCTCTTTTGCTATTTAATAAGATTTACTCACCTGATTTACATTTTCTTTGAATGAAAAATGCACACTAAAACGTCCCGTAATACAGGGAGTGGACAAAATAATATGAACACCATGCAATATAGTTACATATTGTTGCAAGTTGGCTACACTGTATAATTTTTGGATAACATGGCGTAAAATTAGTATATTATTACAATATAGTAGTTATTTATAACATATTAAT